TGTGTTTGTGGTTGCGCGTTTGTGGTCGTATGTTTGTGATTGTGTGTTTGTGGATTTTATCTGGCAAACTATCTGGTTGAGGTCCAGCGGTGCACACTGCGATCGGATCCTTGCGGTTGAGGTCCAGCGGTGCACACTGCGATCGGATCCTTGCGGTTGAGGTCCAGGAGTGCGCACTGCGATCGGATCCTTGCGGTTGAGGTCCAGGGATGCACACTGCGATCGGATCCTTGCGGTTGAGGTCCAGGTGTGCACACTGCGATCGGATCCTTGCGGTTGAGGTCCAGCGGTGCACACTGCGATCGGATCCTTGCGGTTGAGGTCCAGGGGTGCGCACTGCGATCGGATCCTTGCGGTTGAGGTCCAGGGCTGCGCACTGCGATCGGATCCTTGCGGTTGAGGTCCAGGGTGCACACTGCGATCGGATCCTTGCGGTTGAGGTCCAGGGCCTGCGATCCGGAGCTGGCCAGACATGATCGGCGAAGCAGATTGGCGAGGAAGGAAGCAAGGAGGAAGGAGGAAGGAGGAGGACGAGGAGGCGGCGGAGGCGGAGGCGGAGGAAGAACAACTGTGATAGAATCTAACAACCCTCACCTGGCAGGTGGGGAACAACTGAATGAAATCATGAGACACAGCGACATAGAGAACCGGATGCTTATACCAGTATGCATCAGTCTTCTTTCCTGACGCGCGGGTACTATCAACCCTTCACACTGTGTGTAGTTCACACAATTAATGCTCGAAGACTGCGATGTGGTCGCACATCACTACAGTTCAGGCCATGGCCCTTGGATGTCACAACACACACATGTGGGGTCTACACCGATATCATCTACAATTTAAACTTCTTTCCAAGGCCTGAACAAACCCCAACCCCAGATATGTGCTTCACAGAACACCCAGGGGAATCGCGCAGGAGATTGGCCAGTAGGTAAAGTTGTTCCATCCATCTCCCATTGAAGCACTTGAAAGAACACCAAAATCAATAAAATCAATAGCGGCGTTCATTTCTGCCGGGGTCAGCTGCTCGACGATTTCCAGCCTCTCGATGCTCTCCTTCCAAGCCTTCTCCAAGGCCCGATGTCGCTCTGCTTTGGGACCGTCATAGTCCAACCTTGGCTGGCGGTCACGTGAGACTAGGCAGAAGGGGACGGGTTAAGAGGTGTGACAGCTTTCATTAAGGCGGTCAAGAAACAGGAAGTTCCGAGAGAATTCCTTCTTTGCCTCGCAAGAAAAATACTCTATGGAATGGTTCTGTTGAGCTAGCATCAGAAGCATGCAAACATTCCAAAATTGCCAGGGTACTTCCCCATAAGGTGTTTGACCATGTTTTTTCTTCGAGCTTTCACCAGTAGCCGCAGCAGCTTTCTGTGTTTTAGCCTTGGCCTTGGCCTTACCGCAAGGCTTGGATTTGCTGCTACCAGGTTTCGACTTAGCAGCAGCCTTTTGCTTCGGAGTAGGCTTTCCTTTTGCCTTTGCAGCCTTTGGTTGAGCTGGAGTCTTCGTCTTGACATCCTTCGGCTTGCTAGCCTCATATATGTTGGTAACCCCCACCAAAAGAATTGCGCGGTACAAGAAGCCAAGTTGAAATCCAAACCAAGGAACCTTCTTTGCGGCTGCTTCAACACGTTTGTCAGCAGCCAAAAGCAACTTGGCAAATGGAGTTACGGGCGGCACTGTCTGCGCCGGAGTTTTGATGGGAGCCACCCGCTCACGAGGTGGAGGCGTCACCAACTGCAGGACACACGCATGAGGGTTCTTTTCATTACATATTGAAAAGCTGCCCAAAAAGAACCTGACTAGAGTATGTTTCCACTCGACGCCTCATTCCCCCCCTTCCACCGGCTTGGACTCCTCCGGCTTGGAATCCTCCTAGCGGCTAGCGACAAACAAAAGGGTTAGATTTCTTGAGGATTTGACTGAGTCTAGTGACTGTATGTTGGACTGCGCCTCATCCCAAAAGCCTGATTCAAGGGTCTTGGCATTCTTCAGTGCCTCCAAATCCTGCGCCACACAACACAGGAACATTGAAGGCAAGAAGTTGGCAGTCTACACTTGTGGAGGCAAGCCTCTTCGGGATGGGAAACATAGTCTTCTTCAAGTCCACCTGGAAAACAGGATGGCAGTGTCGGCACTAGCGGGCAGTCAGCCTGACTCCACCAACGAAGTATTCTGCAAAGTTCCAGGTTCATCATGGCCTTCAACTCGGCACCATATTGTGTTTCTTTTATGAGCTTAAGACTGGACCACTCAATGCTTTTTGAAAAACACATGTGGCTGGCCTTCGGCAGGCTCTTGAGGGGAAAAGTTGCCATCAAGGGCGGCGGCCCATAGCTGCTCCTCGTCAACCTCCGCACCTGCCACTTGTGGAAAGGGAACAGAGGTTGTGGGTCACTCATGTACCATGACTCTAGAAGGCCCAAGCCTTCCCACCATTGTTGGAGTTGCCCTCAAAATCGCACGACAGTCGTTGACTGATAATTTAAAAAGTTGTTCATTCATTTGAGCAATGAGGCGCACACAATTCCATCCAGCAGCGTTGTCCCAGCTGGCAGTCCAGTACTCCTCACCGCCACCTGATCGGGGCCAAGCTGGGTTTAAATTGTAACATGTGTGTGTGTGTGGTTGAAGGGTAGTGGAAACCAACTCACGCACCTTCATAGAGGTCATGACCCCACTGATCTAGGTCCCATTGGTTCCACTCAAACTGCCAATCGTCACCTTTGCAGGAAAGCGGGTGATCAGGTGTTGAAATAAAGGTAATAATATATGACATGAGTGCGCAGGTGGAAAATGCACATAAATGAATATACATAAAAACAGAATTTGGGTTTGGAGAATCGCTCCATCGATCCTAGCCACCAGCAGCCGAGGAATCCTGGCCATCGTTGTGGTCTTCAGAAGATGCAGATTTCACAAAGGAACCTCGGCTACAAAAAATACGGACGAATCGAAACATGGGGACGAATCGAAACATGGCTATATATATTCAACCTGGGGCCCTTTGATTTTATGTCCGCTGTGGTTGAATGAGCCTGCTTTCAAAGGACACATGAAAAGAAGATCTGAACAGTCATCACTAGGCATGGCACACATCCAGAGGTATCTGCAGGCTCATAGGTCCTGATCAATGCGGTAGATTTCTTTCACGGTACTGATGCGCAGACTTTCCAAACATGACAGCCGAGGAACTCAGGGCCGGATGGCAAAGGCAAAGTCGCATGCTCTGGTGCATCGATGGGTCCTGCATAGAAACCAAATCAACCACGATGTTTAAAAAGTGATCTCGACATCCAATTGTGGACAATGACTCGGGTTTAGATTTTGGTTTGTTTCTATCAGCTCAACCGATTATCCTCGAGAGGCAACGTGTCACACATATCCATAGGGCTGCCCATGGCTACGGCTGGTTTCTTCTTGGGCTTCGCGACGTGCTTCTGTAGCCGCCGTTTTCGAGCCATTTTCAGAAGGTTTTGAAGTCTCGTGACCTCGTCTTCAGGCACAATCAGATCCATATCGAGCTGATCTCTCAGCCGGCGACACACCTCCTTGCTAAGCTTTTTTGTGAAGCATCTGCCTTTTCTAATGAAGGCGCAAACCCAACCTCCAAAGAGATTTTGAAGGCACGACCTTTTCAGGTTGCCTAGAGGGATCAACCTGTTCGTCGATCGAAGCCTCTGCAGCGCATCGCCACTCTTGGACAATCGTCGTGAAAGTCTTTTCGCTATGGTTGCAACATTCTCACGACGATTTTTCTTTTGTATTCTCCTGCGCTTGCCCATTGCAACCCCCGAAACATGTACTTGAGCAAAATCTGATGGGTGACCAGAAGATGTATATGTGTATACATATATACACCAAAAAAGGTTCATATCTCACGCGCCCGGTCGACACCCACCACGGTGCACCGGCCACGCCTTCGATCCAAGGCACGGCCGGATCTACAGACGCGCCCCCCGCGCGTCCCAAAAAGCTGGCAGAGTGCACACAGGTTGTGAATAAGGGAGCCATGGATGATACATCACCAAACCCACAAATACTGTGTTTTCCAGGGCAATTGTATCATCCATGGCGATGCACTGCAGGAAATTTCAGCTTCAAACAAAATTGTAAACACACCCTCTTACGTACAAAGATGTACAAGGTGTTTGCATGGGTATGTTGGGATGATACTGATGATCAACGTTTGCGCAAACACGTTTGGAAATCCTCCGCGCCAATGGACAAATGAACATGCCCATATGGACAGTTGGTGTGGAAAAGACGGGTAGATCAAACGAATACGAACTGCTTGGCTTCATGCTATTCTCAACTCTGGCATTTCAGTTGTTCAAACTGACAAGAACTGAGCAGGCTCAAGAACCATCTTGGATAGGGGTCCTATAAACAGTGAAGAATGAGAAGCCGCTCACCATCGCACCATTCCATGAACAGCAGCCCCTAGTAAAGAAGTACTCGGTTCGCTGCTTCGTGATTTTCGGAAAAGGTGTGGTAGCTAGTTTTCAGACAGCGTGCCAAAGGTGCCTCCATGACTGGGACAGATGGGCGAAGTGGGAACAAAGTGGCATAAACGCCTGCCACCAGCTCACTGAAGCAAAGATGCTGGCAGAAAAAAGGGGTGGCCTGAATGTCCCTGACTTGCAGGAACATGATGTGAATTACGTTTTTCGCTCAAGTCGGCCCTCCACCTTCCCCTAAGCTCCTCCCACACCTGGCATGCTGTCCTTGCATGTTTTTGCACTGGTGGAACAAAGTGGCATAAATGCCTGCCACCAGCTCACTGAAGCAAAGATGCTGGCAGAAAAAAGGAGTTGCCTGAATGTCCCTATATAATGTGTCTTTGAGAGGGGGATCGAAGGGCACTCCATGGCACTAGTCTATATAGTCACAGAGATGTTCAGTGTCATGAGATTTGATAAACTCATGACATGAACTACTCACTCAGCAAATCTCAGTAAAGTGGGCTTGGTAGAAAGGCGCCCACACATGTAGCTTGGAAGGACATCCACACAGAAGGCGGCACGATGCTTATTAGTGATCGTGGCAATCCTCCTCATTTAGAGTCTTTGGCTGCAAGGTTTGCTGATAAAGTTGTGCTAGACTGACTGTACCATGCACTATACACCTTGTCCCCGCTAATCCAAAATCATGCATTTGAGAGAGTCCAAGCCTCCATCAGGAAATGGCCAAGATGCTTCAGAGCAAGAACGTGCGCCAATATTTTGTTTTAGGCCAGCTGATTTGGGTGCAACAAGCGAAAGAACTTGCTTGAGATTTGAGATGGTTTTGACACCCTGTGCATACATACGCACACACACATATAAAATACTATAATACTATAAAATCATGTTCAAATTGATATAAAATATATCGAGAGAGAGGGAAAGAGGGGAAGAGAGGGAGACTTAGCAACGAAGTCGATCAGGCTCATCAAGGAATGTGAGCAGAGGGCCGGGCCCAGGGACCTAAAGAATCCCAGTGCATGCCTTCAAACAGGTGGTGATGGCACGCACAAGGGAGCAATGCAGACTTTCGAGTGTACCATGGCGTCTTGGCAGGTTGCCCATGACAAGTTCTGTTGTTTTGACCATTGCAGCAACACAACGGTAGCAGTAATGGTAGTGCCTTAAACATGCCACACTTAGGAGATCGACCACGAATGCGCAGTGGTTGGCGTGCCCAAGACCATTGACAACGATCCTTGGCTTGTCCCATGCCAGCTGGGCAGTGTAGAGCATGGTGGCCATGGCATTTTTACGCTGGACGATTCTTTAAGCTTTGCCTCGTGCGAGCCCAGCCTCTGAGGATGTGCCTATGATCGATCAGACCTTTGGCTTCGACACTGCGTGCACAGAGGCCACTAAGGCAGTGAACTCTGCCTATGTCGAGGCCAAGGGGAATGCCGCTTGGAAAATGCTTGGAAACACGGTGTCGAATGATTGGTTGTGTTGTTCTTTTGGACCCATTGATTTTGAGAAGAACATATCTATAGCCAGCAAAAGGGCCCCGCAAGTTCAACGAACAGGTGTCAGGTGTTCTGCAGCATACACAATACCCAACGCCCTTGAAGCATCCTGACAGATACACCGTCCCATCTTGAGACCATATACTGTCTTGAACTTGAACTGCATCCTGGTTGGAAAACCCTGCGTTTGGACCAAACCTCCCACGCTTCCCCCGACTTTGGCGGCACAGCATCCAAAACCCATCGACAGGGCCCCTCACAAGGCAAGAATCTGTGCTGACTTTGGCATGAGGCCAACTGCATTGGGCTGGTGAAGCTCATGGGGCGACATTGTGGCTTCATTGCGATGAACGCCGCTCTGGCCGCTCGTGATGTCGACGTTTGCCCCTTGCTGGCAGGGGGGTGCCCATGGGCGCCCACGGTAACGGTGTTGAATGACCGCGCGGTCTGAGCCGATTCTGAGCTGCACTCCAATTCGCTCAGGTTTGATTCCTGAAATGGACATCGACTTGGAGAAGGCCGCCCAAACGCCTGCACCAGATTGTGCAAAAGCATTGCGTTGGCGCTTGCCTGGTGAGCATGAGTGCAGGGACTTCCACAAGACCGGGTCGTACCGGTACGGCCGAATCACATCCAATGCGCCAGGTCCTGCAGCACATTGAGCACTTGATGCGCACCAAGGGTCACTGCGTGATAGTTGTGGCGGAGGGATGTGGGGACACTCTCATCCAGAGCTCTGGTGAGAAAGATGCAGGCACGTTTGTCTGGCCAGATCTCAGCCAGGGTATCAGTGACGGTAAAATGCTTTATTGTGTCATACTTGCTGATTTGCACTTGGATCACTGTATCAATTTGTATCGTGATCATGTTGAAATTTAGCCGCTACCCAATTTTTACCTTGGTTTTGTCCCCTTTGCACTCCAATTCGTTGGTCCCATCATGTCCTACCGGGCACAAGGTGAATTTCACTCTGACTGTGTGGCCCCCACAGGTGGCAATAAGATTCTGGCTGATGTGGGCCCATGGTTAAAAGATACCATTACAGCTCGTTTCAAGACCCTTGGGCTGCCATTGACCATCAAGTACATCGATCCCACTTATATGAGTCTTGGTTGATTTGGCTGTGTTGATGCGGCTGTCCAAAAAACTTCCACCGCAATTTCCTTATGAGGAAATTGCATTTTTGTTTATAAGTTCAGGAAATTGTCTTGGATAATCTATGTACTGTATGCTTTCTTAGGATCCGCTCAGTGGCGGCCAACTCCTACGACAGCACCTACTGCTCGGTGCTGGGGCAGATGGCAGTGCATGGAGCCATGGCGGGCTACAGCGGCATCACCGCGCCTTGTCAATGAACGTTTTGTGAGCCAAAACCGTTGGGTTTCGCCATGTTAATATGATGAAGAAGGTGCAAGTGTAGGAGGCGGATCGACACTCCAACTTTCCACAGATTAATGCCTCACATGGTGGAATTGCCCTAGGCAGGCCAATATCAGGATAGGGTACACTGTAGATTGTACTTTGATAGGTTCGGATATCGGGATGTCGCCTCGTGATGCTTGATGCACAATTACGTGGCCTGCCAAGGTGGGTCAAATCTACTCACGTTCCTTGGCTCAATGCTGGAATACGGGGCAACCTTGGCAAAGCAACTATTCATACGCCAAATTGTTCAGAGGGCCTACGGTGGTGTTTGCACTTGCACTTCCCACCTCATTTCGTCGTGCAGCCTTACATCAACAAGCACGCTTGCCAGCATCGCCCGGCAGTAAAAAATGTATATAGTCTTAATTAATGGTTATCCCGTGCTAGTTGCAGATGCCTGACATACGCGAGGCTACTGTTATTTGCCCATCCATGCCATCACCAACCAGCGGGGCAAGCGTCGGGCATCTCAGACAAGAGAGGGAATGAGATGGAGCTCGGAATGATGCACTCCGAGTTGCACTTTGTTGTCATCACGCCAGCCGCATTTTTTGGAACAGAGTCATCCCACGGGTGCCATTGCCTGCCCTTAGTATCCCTTAGTAAGACTACACACTTTGCATTCTGATGCTGATGCTGCAATTGAAATGGGATTGTATAGCTTCTACTGGTATAGCATGGTTTTTGCTACCTTTCCTAGTACTTTACTGTGATGCGAAGGGCATGCACCGTTTTCGCAAGTGACTGATGTCCTCAGAGAAGTCTTCGAGTGTACATAATTTGCCCAGCTGAGGCGTCAATCCAAAGGGCCGCTGGTTCTTCCGCATGCAGGAGGCCACAAAGCAGCCAAACTTCCGCACGGGTGCCCAGGGTGGGCATAGTGGCGTAGCATAGCTTTGATGTGCCTCAAATTGAGCATATGTGCCTGGCTGCGGATTACTGCAAGGACCAGATAACCCAACAGCGCTTCCGCTGCCCACCACGAATGCCGGTGATGTTCTGGAGGCGAGGAGAGCTGGTGGGGTTTGGAGAAGGTTGAAGGATCTCAGACCGTCGCAGCTGGGGACGTGTTTTCGGGAGGGCAAGACAAACAAAGCTACTGCCGGAAAGTGCGTTGCCTGCCGCTGTTTCCTTTTTTGGCTCAGGCTCTAAAGCATGTTGCAGATAAGAATCAAGAGGATCATGAGTGAATACGGCAGCGCATGACTACGTGATGCATGCTGCAAGTTCGTGCAGAATACAATAATGCGGTGAGTGTGGCACCAGCATCGACAAACCACAGCTGCGCCGGACTGCAAGCCGGCCCAGCAAGTTGCACTTTCCTTGCCAAACTTGAGTAGTATATAGGTCTAGCATGGTCTAGCACTTCTACGACTATGGCAGGCTTAGTAAGGGGCAATACCGGCAGAAAAGGTGGCGTCAGACGACCCCATTAGCATCCACTAGCTGCAGGATGCTGCACTTCTGTCCGGAAACACACGTGGAAGTGGGGCATGACAATCACGAATTTAGTAAGCTTAAAAGCACTCATGATTTTACTGGGAACAAGAAGCTATTAGGAACAATAAAGCTGTGCACAATTCAATCGGCAACTCCGGGGGTGTAGGATCTTAGGATCCAGTAGGTCGGAAGACACCGCATGGCCTTGCGGCTCACCGGTGGCCACGGTGGAGGCGCTTGAGGCGCAAGACAAATTGGGGTGACATAGAACTATAGAACATAGAAGGTTTACTGCCACATCGGCACATCCGGAGAGCAAGAACAACTTTGTAGCATTGTAGCAGCATTGTTCTCATCCGCCACAGGACCAAACTTCATGGCCATTTCGAAGTGTTTTCTTGTCGTGTCCGCTTGTGCTAGGGGAAATGGACCTCCGCACACAAGAAGTGCTGGCTGCTTGGGCCAGGAACTTGGACAGAATGAGTCTCAAAACGGGACCCAAGGCAGGGCTCGCTATATGTCCTGTTTTGAACAACACTGAAACATCACCTTTTGTGAGGCAGTTTTTGATTCAATTGGAAGTATCCAGAATCCAGATTAAGACTACAGAAGTCGTGCCTGACCTCTTGTGGTGTGTGCATGCATGGACTCCTGATTGACTATGGAAGTATAGAGATTAATGGATGTCTTTGGAAGTTTGGATGAATGGAAGTATAATGAAATATGCAAACAGATTAATGGAAGTCCACAGATTATATTGATTTGTCAGTGCTTGCGATATTGATTTGTTTGTGGCGTCGGTATTGGCCTGTCTTTGGTTGCAATATTGATCTCCTTTGGTTGCACAATTGATTTGTCAGTGTTGCGATATTAATCTTTTTGTGGCAGCAATGTTGGTCTGTTTCTGGTTGCAATATTGATTTGTGTGTGTGTGCAATTACTCTAGGTGCAAATAAGACGGCGTTGAGTTGATGTCATTTTGAGGGGTTTTGCGCCATCTATTTGTCCCCGACGGGTCTTGAACATAGGGTTATAAGCCGACCAACGAGCGCTGCCCTGGATCCCCCCCCAAAAAAAAGGCCAATCGCAGCTTTGTAGATGGCACAGGAGGAAAATTGATGTTTATATAAAAGGCCTTTAGCCAGGCCTTAGCAGATGGCGCAAGAGAAACACCATCACAGCTTTGTAGATGGCACAGGAGGAAAATTGAGGTTTATAAAAAGGGCCTTTAGCCAGGCCTTAGCAGATGGCGCAAGAGAAACACCATCGCAGCTTTGTAGATAGTTTGTGGAGGTTTTGCTGCGCGCATTTTGCAAAATACAGGATAGAGATGACTCAGCCGCGTACTAAAGTTACTACTGAAAGTTTGGACTTGTGAGCGATGTCACGAGCTCGACATGTCTGTTCGCTGGCCGTTCTGCGCAAGATCGGCCGACTGAGCCAATTCCCCCTTTGAAAAAGGCGCGCCATGGGGTTGCTTTGATTTTGTGTCGAGAGCCGTTCGACACGCACAAAACGAGAAGTCGTACCAGCACAGACTTTGTCGTGAACTACAAAGTCGCCAGTTCTCAGCTTCCAGCTCCACGGCTTGCTCTGCGTACTAGAGTTGTACTGCAAAGTCGCCAGTTCTCAGCTTCCAGCTCCACAGATTGCTCCGCGTACTAAAGTTGCACTACAAAGTCGCCAGTTCTCATCTTCCAGCTCCCCAGATACTCCGCTTACTGAAGTTGTTCTACAAAGTGGCCAGTTTTCATCTTCCAGCTCCCCAGACTCCGCGTACTGAAGTTGTACTACAAAGTCGCCAGTTCTCAGCTTCCAGCTCCACAGATTGCTCCGCGCACTAAAGTTGTACTACAAAGTCGCCAGTTCTCATCTTCCAGCTCCCCAGATGCACTACAAAGTCGCCAG